GAAGAAAATAAGAGGTTGATGACACTTTTTAGTATAAATTAAATTCTTTTGATAGTATAACGTACGTATATATAGGTTGTAAATATATCGATCGCGCTATATATAATTTATATGTGTGTATATATAATATATATTTCTCGATATATATATTATTCCACCTTTTTTAACTTATAAATCTCGAAACAATAAAGAGATAACAAAATAAGGGAAGAAAAGAAGAGAAGGAGCGCCATGTAGTCGCGTAAGATGCGCTTCGAGCTCGTCTCTCAATGTTCTAACATCTTCACAACAAACACAGCTCCGCCAAAAAAGATCTCCCTGCTCAGCGGGTAGCACGAAGCCACGTTGAGCTTTCGGGGCCCATTTCGAGAGAGAGAATTCGTTCAGAGCGTACTTACATCAAAGTTCTTACATCAAAGCGCTATGTCCCTGCATCTTATTATTAATTACACTGTTATTATTAGTTATTACAATGATGTTTCTCTCGCGCCGTGGGACACTCGGAGGATGCCGCGTGAGGTCTGAGAGAATCCCACGAGCCGCGGACAAGCCCGTGACACCCGCTGAGGCTCGACGTACATCGCAATCGCAAAGTACAATGCGTAACGAAAAGAGAATCTAGGCCTTCAAGCTCTCAGGCGCCGTAAATGCACGGGGACATTGAAAAATATCGGCAACAATCGCCTTCGTCTCGACCGCGATTCTCGGCTCGAACTCAATCGGGATTACAAAAGGACGAAAGAAAAGGAAACGACGACACTGGCCTTCAGACTCCTGCCTACTCGCCGCGGAACTGTCAGATGTAAAGGTACCAATTCGCGGACACCTAATCCTGGACATTCTTATTGTTTTGGTCTTTAAATACGAATATTTAAACTTTCAACATAGAATATATTTACGTACTCAATACTTATGCATATATTTTATGTTGAAAGTTTAAATTTGTGTATATAAAAAGCAAAACAAAGAGATTGTCCAGAATTAGATGCATGTCCGGGCATTGGTACTTTTACCTTATAGTCAATGAATAGTCATTACTTGGCCCACATGAGATACTCAGATATGATTTTAGAGTTAAATTTGACGTCTGTGAAGATGGCACCACATTTTTAAAAAAATCAATTTATTATCATAGTTCTGATCGCACCCCAATGAGTTCTAGAGTTCTAGATAACATTTAGAAATAGTTCTGGCGAAATAAAGTAAAAAAACCAATTTTGAAGTTTTGGGGTGCTAAGTTCACAAAATGAGGTAAGAAAAATGACCGTAACTTTTTAACGGTTGCACCAAATAAATTTCATCATTAGAGTTCTTTATAGAACTCTTGTGGTGCTATCCAGAACTCCGGCCAGAACGCTGGAATTATTTAAAAAAATTTTACCCTTTCAGGACTTAGAAATTTTCACGAAACCGAATCTTCGAACGGCTAGAACTTCTCTCTCATTGGTTTTAGCTGGAAAATTCATAAATATAATCGACAGAACTCTTCGGGATGCTACCAGAACTCCGATCAGAACGCCGGAAATGTTAAATAAATTTCACCCCCTCAGAACTTAGAAATTTTAACGAAACCGAATCTTCGAATACCTAGAACTTCTCTCTCATTGGTTTTAGCTCGAAGATTCATAAATATAATCGACAGAACTCTTCGAGATGCTACCAGAACTCCGATCAGAACGCCGGAAATGTTAAATAAATTTCACCCCCTCAGAACTTAGAAATTTTCACGAAACCGAATCTTCGAATGCCTAGAACTTCTCTCTCATTGGTTTTAGCTCGAAGATTCATAAATATATTTCAGGAACCCGAATCTTCGAACGCCTAGAACTAGAATGCGAGAGAAGTTCTAGGCGTTCGAAGATTCGGTTTCGTGAAAATTTCTAAGTTCTGAGGGGGTGAAATTTATTTAACATTTCCGGCGTTCTGATCGGAGTTCTAGTAGCATCCCGAAGAGTTCTGTCGATTATATTTATGAATTTTCCAGCTAAAACCAATGAGAGAGAAGTTCTAGGCGTTCGAAGATTCGGTTTCGTGAAAATTTCTAAGTTCTGAGGGGGTAAAATTTATTTAACATTTCCGACGTTCTGATCGGAGTTCTGATAGCACCCCGAAGAGTTCTGTCGATTATATTCGATGAATCTTCGAGCTAAAACCAATGAGAGAGAAGTTCTAGGCTTTCGTAGATTCGGTTTCGTGAAAATTTCTAAGTTCTGACGGGATGAAATTTATTTAACATTTCCGGCGTTCTGATCGGAGTTCTGGTAGCATCCCGAAGAGTTCTGTCGATTATGTTCATGATTCTTCCAGCTAAAACTAATGAGAGAGAAGTTCTAGGCGTTCGAAGATTCGGTTTCGTGAAAATTTCTAAGTTCTGACGGGATGAAATTTATTTAACATTTCCGGCGTTCTGATCGGAGTTCTGGTAGCATCCCGAAGAGTTCTGTCGATTATGTTCATGATTCTTCCAGCTAAAACTAATGAGAGAGAAGTTCTAGGCGTTCGAAGATTCGGTTTCGTGAAAATTTCTAAGTCCTGAAAGGGTAAAATTTTTTTAAATAATTCCAGCGTTCTGACCGGAGTTCTGAATAGGACCACAAGAGTTCTATAAAGAACTCTAATGATGAAATTTATTTGGTGCAACCGTTAAAAAGTTACGGTCATTTTTCTTACCTCATTTTGTGAACTTAGCACCCGAAAACTTCAAAATTGGTTTTTTTACTTTATTTCGCCGGGACTATTTCTAAATGTTATCTAGAATTCTAGAACTCATTGGAGTGCGATCAGAACTATGATAATAAATTGATTTTTTTTTAAATGTGGTGCCATTTTCACAGACGTTTAAATTTGAGTTTTTTACTTGGAACACATGGTATATGCGACGTTACATTTACAATTGTGATTCAGCTAAACAATTCACATTTGACTCTAAATTCAAATCTAAGAATCTCATCTGAGGCAAGTTTCAAGCAACAACTATTAATACGATTCTTAATCAATGAAGAAATACATACTCAAAATTTCTGCAAAGTACGCTGAAATAAAAAGATACATTAAGAATTGGACACGTTACTTAAAAAAAAAGTACCGGAAACGATAACGGTTATAAGTAACGCGTTACTTCCCAACTCTGAATATATTAAAAAAATGATAGAATCGATTGAGCACACCTCTAGAATACTGCGAACAATTTCCTTTTGCTGATCCAATTTTGTTGACAATCAACGAATAATCAAAATTAACGTAACAGGCAAACTTCTTTTTTAATCTACACTTTTTCACGTCATTTCGTTAATTTTAAGGTTACTTATTGATTGTCAGAGCAAAAGGAAAGTGTTCAAAGTATTTTAAAAGTATGCTTAATCAATTGCAAGTGTCATTTTTTGGACATGTCTTCTCATTTCGTACTTTGCAGGGATCTTGGGCGTGCATCTCCTCGCTTCTGACGCCAACAAACAAGATGGCCGCAGCGAGTAGCCGGCAGCCTTAGGGTAAAACGATAAAAATCTAGATTATGGTACACACTAAACATAAATTACGTTCTCCTCGTTCTCTTTTTGGTGCTTAAAACTCGTAAGCCGCGTCTCGACTAAGCTGAGCAATCGCCTCGCTCAGCTTCTAGCCGGCCGGCCGATAATAAATAAATAAAATTCGTCGTGCTACTGAAATAAATAACTGCCGTCTCGGAGCGAATGGATGCTTCGTGCTCGCGTCTGTTCTTATTAGCGAGCCTGTTAACATAAGCGAATGACGCGAACGTGGAGCGTCAACCGTTCTCTTCACATACACCGGGAGAAGAAATAGTAAATATAAGAAATATCTATCCGGTGAGTGCTAATAACATATACTTACTGATACTAATATAGTAATGTTAATATACTCTCTCTCTCTCTCTCTCTCTCTCTCTCTCTCTCTCTCTCTCTCTCTCTCTCT